CTCCCTGAAAGGATTAATGCCATCCGCACTTAAAGCAAACCATACGTTCCTTGGGTCACTTGCAAACTCATCCCAGTACTTTCTCTCGATTTTTCTCCACTGCGACCCATCAGTGGGTTCTCTCAACTTCCCGTCTTTCTTACGGTCCTCACTGTGCCATAGCATCAACTTGGCATGCTCTCCGTTTCTGAACAGACGTTTCAACTGTGGTATTATAGGAGCATACCACATCACCTTTGCAGGAACCCTCGTCCTGGGGGGCTCGCCGTCAACATCACCAGGGTCATCTTGTCTGATCTTATACCGTAATGCACCGCATACCGGGTATGCGTTCAGATCCTTGTACGCACCGCGGTAGAGGATGCACTCATTAGGGCATGCATGTATCTTCTGCACCTCTAATCCTAGAGGGCATACGACCTTCTTTGCTGCGTATGTATTGTCGGGCAATTCGTTATCCTTTGGAAGCTTCTTCTTCAATATTTTCAGTAGCTTCTCAAATCCTTTGTCAGGCACAGCATTCTCTGCCTTCCACTGTAGCAATTCCAGTACGGTACCGAGCTTTGTGTTGCCATCTTCGCAATTTGGGTACAACCCTTTTTTGTGGTCCTCTAACATGCGATCGAACTTCAGCTTCTCCTTTTGACTTTCGCATTGCGTCCTTGCATCGATAATGACCCGGCGGAGATCATCATCATCGGGCACATCGTCTGGTTCCTCTTGATCTTCAGCAGCTTCGCCTGTTGCAGCATCATCGTGCACATCGTCTGGTTCCTCTTGATCTTCAGTAGCATCACCGTATTCAGGGGGCACATAGTTGTCATCGTACTTTTCTTCTTCGCCATCATCCATCATAACCCCTATTTCTCCGTGCCTCGTCTAAACATTATAGTGTGGTATGAAACCCTTGTAAAGCAGGTGGGTGTGAAGGATTTTCCGGTCAGAGTAAGACTTCGTATTCCCACATATAGGGCATGGAAAACACATAAAACCATTCTGCTTGTTTGCCTCAGCCACTTCGAGAAATTCATGCACGCCCTTAATGTACTCGAAGGTGTGTCTTGAACCGTACATCCATTGCCGGCTCATCTGCGTGCATTATATATAATTAAGTGTGTCAAAAATTATTACAGAACATCATGAATAGATAATTAAGTGACCACATTAATAGAAGTTCATCATCACATTAAAACCAAAGTACATACATAGTTCTCATCTAACAACATAAAGCTCTGCAGAGCATCTAAATTAATTAAACCATACATTGAAACTATGTAAAACATTTCAATGCGAAAACAAATGCGATCATAATCGCAACCAATGTAACAACTGATCCAACGGCATAATGATATCAAGCCTCGGTATGAATGGCATATTTTCTAATCTTTCTAATCTTCAAGCGCATTGCATCCATCTTGATCTTGTGATCATCCACGACATCCGCAACATGCAACTCCAATATCATCTTCTCCTCCTCAATTTTTCTAATTTTTTCCTTCAAGAAATTGTTTTCTTCTTCAACTAAATTTAACCTCTCGACAATAGGCTCGGTTGGAATTTCCGGTTCAACAACCTCCTAGATAAATAAAATCTGTGTCACATTGGTCGGCATAATTGTCATAAAAAATAGATGAACCAATAGTTATGAGAAGATAATATATACCACATCCGAATCATAGACAGGACGAGGGCCGACGGGGGCGGATACCAAAACCATCGCACTATATAAGATGCAATAATAAAAGTAAGAAAATTATACAAGTATCTATATAAACATACAAGTAAGATTTTTTTTTTCCTTCAGAAAGAAGATAAGAACAAGAGGCTCACCATGGTGGTGCCGGCGACGAGATCGGCGCGGGCGATCGACGGCGGTGAAGACGGGGATGGGACGCGACGGACCGCTAAACCTAGACAAATATTGAGGAAAATGAAGCTTGGAGGTCGAGCTTGGAGAGGAGAAAGCTTAAGTAGTGTGGCTCGGGCATTCCATCGAGCACCTCGTGTGCATAGGAGGTGAGCTAGAGCACCACAAAGCTCTCTCCTCGCCGGCCACGAAAAACAGAGCAGTGAGAGTGCTCTGCTCGCGGGCGAGGGGTATATATAGGCAATCAATTGGTCCCGGTTCGTGGCTTGAACCGGGACTAAAGGGAAGCCTTTGGTCCCGGTTCAGGCCACCAACCGGGACCAATGGTGGTGGGCCAAGACCAAGGCACATTGGTCCCGGTTCGTCCCACCAACCGGGACCAAAAGGTCCAGACGAACCGGGACCAATGGCTCACGTGGCCCGGCCAGCCCCCGGGGCTCACGAACTGGGTCCAATGCCCCCATTGGTCCCGGTTCTGGATTGAACCGGGACTAATGGGCTGACTCGGCCTGGACCAATGCCCCCTTTTCTACTAGTGTTAGTGTTACCCATCCCCACAAAAGTTCAATTGAAATTATTTCAGCATTTTAGGAAACCAAACGGCCCCTAATCGCCCTTGGGTCACAAGCGGGCACCAAGGGACCTATCTGTTTAGTAGTGCCGTTTGAAGTCATGTAGCCTCCTTTAAGTGCAATCCATTAATGACATTATTTCCATTGTTTCAATTGGCCTGGTAGTGCTAATACAAATACATTTGGACCTACCCAGGACACTAGAGGGGTGACTCGGGTGGAAGCCTAGCGCAACCACTACCCCTTCCCCCTCCGATCATGCCCCCCCCCCCCCCGACGCCAAAGGATGCCTCCAGTCAAAGGCCACGAGGCTGACAGCGGTGGCGGGTCCTCATCCTCCTTGCATGATTGATGGCGTCGGGGGAGGGGGGCTCCTTTGTCGCATTGCGGGATCTCTGGTCGGAGCTTCATGGCGGCCCTGGACGGTGCGTGGTTCGTTGGCGGAGATGGGCACCGAGGCAACGGCCCCAAATTTCTTCGGCGGCCTCGATTGCAGCTGTGGTCGTGAGCGCGACACGACGACTGGTTCGGGGTGCTCAGTGTGGCTCAACTACTCATATCTGCGTGGTGCGGGTGGTGGCGGTGGTGCCCGCCGAGATCTCCGGCCTGCTGTTGGGAGCCGGTGTGCGGCACGCTCCTTGGGTTCTTTTTGCTCTAAGATGGTGTTTTGTCGGTTGCTGGCCCTCGTGGATCTGGTCGTTGACGAGTTCAGGAATGCATTGCTGGAGATCTTCATTGGGTGCTTAACACCTGTAGATTGTTGGATCGGATGAGATTCGGTCGTGTGCGTCCCTATTTCAGCCCGAGTGGCTTCAGGAGGGTGTGACATAAAGCTTCGTTGTATGTTGACATTATGGGACACGTCGGTATTTCAATTTCCATGGTGAATACAGTGGCGGAGAACGTCATGGTGGCTGAGGTCTAAGGCCTTGTAATGGCAGATCGAGTCATCACGGCGATGAGGACTTTGCTTAGTGATTCGTGACTCGTAGCAACGGCATTGGCAAGTGGGGGCGGCAGTACAGGCGGAGTACAGAGTCTTAGCTTTCAGGGTGAAAACCCAAGGTCTGTCCTTAATTGGTTGTGTCTCGCAGTAACCTTGTTGAAAGCATTTTTTGAGAGCGCTGATCTTCTCCAAGGTGAAAACCTAAGATCTAGGATCGGGCGATGACGGTGCTTGTGCACTATATCCTTCTTGGAGGCGTTGCTTTTGAAGAATTTGTACTTCGGGTGTTGTCTAGGTGGTGTTCGTGGTGCAACTACAAGGAATTGGTCACTGTAGCCGGATCTTTTTTTATCTTCTTCCTCCTTTTGTCTTTTAGCCGTGTGCACCCATAATATCTTTACGACATTGTGTTGTTGTAGAGCTGGGCGTAATTGATATCTCCATGATATTTATAAGCCCTTACCCTGCCTGCGTGGATCAAGGTGGCTTCTTTGAGCTACCTCTCTATAACCACACAACCACGGGAGAGCTCATGTGCTCATCATGCATGTGTGGAACGATTTTCGAATCCATTGTATGACTAAAGATATTCTCCACTAGGAATTATGAATCCATACTCTACAAATAGAGTTTCTCAGTGCTTGTGACCCTACCTATAATATATCTATGATTATGTTCAGTCAGAAGAACAAGATGCACATATATCCTCATATGTGGTGTTTTCAGGCACTCCGTTGTTCTATTTCTGTCCAAACTTTTGTCCTTATCACTTGGTACATAAGTGTGGAAATTAATTTTGGGGCAAAAAAATCAAGCGGCGAAAGTATCTCGACTCACTAGCTTGCGCTCCATGAAGTCGTGAGAATTTGATGTGTTTGCTAGGGGCAGCTCTGGTGCCTAATCTCAGCAAACAAATCCACCGCAAGTTAAGGTATTACTTCATATATATATAACTTGTAATTTCTCTATAGAACACTACATTGCTGCCAATATTGATGGATTATGGTCAAAACCTTAATGCTTAATGACTCAAAATAGGTCTTATGTTTTGAAATGGATGGAGTTGCCCTACATATAACTTCTGATTTCTTTACGGAATTTGTACTGCTGATGACAAAGTGGTGCTACTTGCACATGGGCAGGAATCAAATCGAATCGAATCAGCTCTGATATTTGCATGGATCGGGAGCTAACCTGTGAAAACTAATACAAGGCGTGACGTTTACCGGATTCCAAAACCTCGTACGGTGCACACAAGAAACACCCATTTGCAAGAAAAATATTGTTGCCCTTTCACAGGTTCCAGAGATAGCAGCAAGTTGCATGATATATTTAGTTAAGGAAATGACCGAGCTCATCGATCAGCATGCACTTTGTCTCCTTAAATTGCTAATATTTACATTAGTTAATCTGCAAGTTGCATATTTGGATGAGTAGCTTACTATACTTGCCTTATTTCAGTTCATCCATATATAGGGGCCTGCAGGGGCAGTACATGCTCACACACAACCATCTATTAATTGGACGACTGGAGTGAAGATCTAGATAGATAGCTAGCAGATGATTAAGCGGTTGAGTGAATATAGTGCTTAATTAAGGAGATAGAAGAGCTATCATGGTGAGGGGCAAGATTGTGATTAGGAGGATTGAGAACATGAGCAGCAGGCAGGTCACCTCCTCCAAGCGGCGTCGTGGCCTGCTGAAGAAAGCACGTGAGCTGGCCATCCTCTGCGATGTCCAGGTCGGCGTCATCGTCTTCTCCTCCACTGGTTGCCTCTACGAATATGCCAATCCACCGCCACCACCAACATGGGCATGGCCATGCCTTCCATCATTCAAAACTACCAATCTGCACAAGATCACCATTAGCTATTAAATCCAGTCTCACAAGTCATGGTATGCGCGCATGCATTCCTTGCAACCTTTTATTTACTCCTAACTTTCCATACATGATGTTTTTGACATGTAGACATGCAGTTTGCATGATGCAACTTTAAATGCTATTTTTTTATACAAAATAGTTGGTTAAATTACAGACTTAATAAAAAAATCTAATGATGTTATGCTCCTTTGAATAATCTCAGTAAAAATGTGCATATTTATAGTCAAATTAGAGAAGTTTAAGTCTTACTATATGCATATACTTTTAGCACTACACCGTAAGCCAAAAAAAGTAATGCTTATTTGGCAAATACCCATAATAGTACCACTTCTTATTTTATTTTATTTTGCAAAAAAGTTGTGTAACTCGGTTTACAGTAACTCAAAGTTTCTGATAACAGAAAAATGTCATTTTTTTTCTAGTTTTGGGAAGGGGGAGTAAGGAAATTATAGCAGAACATCATCGGTACACGTTCTTAATTCTGTTCCTTCCAATGCTATCTATCTAATTTAAATAAGTTAGAGTAAAGACAGGAAAATCCACTCAAGTAATCACATTATTGTTTGACTTTAAGGAAGCTAATTGAGGAGAGATTATCAAACTTAGGAGTCAAAGACTTATGTTTAATGGAAAATCAACTGGAGAAGAGCTTACACTGGATATTAGATGAAAGAAGGTAGCTAAGCTCCCTCAGTTTGTTCTTATTTCTGCTAATCATTGTACCAACTTCCATAATCACGACACTAACATTTTTTATGAGAATGATAATAAATATGTGTCTCCTGATACTCATTTTAGGAACAAAGTTTTGCCAAATATATTCTACAACTCAACGAGAAGGTTCACCAATATTTCTATCACTCGTGTGTGCAATTTTACCTAGTTTCCCATTATCGTGTAAAGTTTAAATAATACATATTTAAAATGTTATACATACGTGATAAATCAATAAAGTGACCTTGTAGGGATACATCTTTCATCAAGAGGATATTTGACTCTCCGGGGAAATAAAGCTTATCCATGAACAAAACTTGGAATTAAAGAACAAGGTAACTTTTATTTTTGACTATGCTGTCAAAAAAAAAGACTGACTTGACTATGTACCAAAGCCTTTTGGGGGTTTGAGATTAATGGTGCTGCTTGATATTGGTTTTCAGCTTTTTATATTAAATGGCTCTACTAAGGGTGCAACATGGTTGTTCACTTAACAGTTTCATAAAGATGCGCAGAAACCGGGAGTTGAACTTTTTTGTAGTTGTATCATCTTGTTATGGTGCAAATAATCAATAAAATGATGCTAATATAGGATTTTCATTTGCAAACGCATGAGATGTATTGGGTATTGATATTTCATATATATGTGCACTTAAGTTGTTACACCAGGCTTTCAACTATCGCGGAAAATTGACCACTGCTGCCTCAGTAGGAGTCTAGGCCGTGTCCCGTGTGTCAGTCCAACTGTGGCTAATCATCCTCTAGAATATGACTCCTGCATATAATTGTCTTGATCATCTACTGCTAGCTTGATCAAAATGTTTTCACCATGTATGTGAAGAACCTGAAGTAATTTCCAAGTGCTAATATAACTGAGATGGGAAAAGAAAGATGCTTTAGTTAATAATTTAGCTGGAGAAGCAAGAAAGCAGCAGGGAGAATCAGTGCCTCCAGCTTTGTCCAGTCATCGCAAAACACTTGAAGTACATACAGCTGAGCTGATGCAAGAGCAAAAAGAAAGAATCAAACCAGATCAGATCAGAGTGGTTGCATCATTAAGGACTACATGCTAAAGATCAAGTGGTGCCATGACTCAGAGCACCAAACCTGGAAGGAAATCATCTTTACTAGGATCTAATCCATTACTGGCTCCAATCGAGGTCGAAACGCCGTCACTCACGTGGACTGCACATTTTTGCATCGTGCTCTGTGGCCACTTTACTTACTAACCTTTAAAACTGTCCTTTTTTGGATGAGCCAAGTGGACAGCTAGCTGGTACATATGTGTGCTCATGAATCTAGAAACCTTAAACAACATGGTGCTACTACCTAACGCTTTACAACTTGGATGTTACCATTAGCACCCAAATGCCAATGTTCCTGGCGCACCCACCTCAATAAGTATGGCTATAGTTATTATATCCGTCAAAAATGACAACCAACAAGGTTTCCCCAAGTGTGAAATACAAACTTAAACATATAATACTGTAGCCACCATATGCAAGAAATGAATTTAAAAAGAAACTGAAATTCAGGCATTTTTCCGCACATAAAGGTTTCGCCGACGTGGCCAACTCATAAAAAAGACGCAACCGGGTCTATTGGTTGTGGTGAATCTACGACTTCTTAATCCGTAAGATTTGGCATCTTACACGTCAGAGCATCAGATGCGCGATATTGGCATAAAAATCGTACCTCTATTGTTGAGAAAAAGTCATGCCATTTGTCGCCTTCTATATAGACCGTGTTAATACACAATTGGACAACTATACCAAGATATAAGTACACGCTTATGAAGAAAGTGTATTACCCACATGTTACATGGTAACATGACGAGATACAATTGGATGGCTCCACCAGGATATGAGCCCACAATTTTCAATAAATTAAGTGTGCCACTTACAAATTACGTCGTAATGTGTCGAGATACACCCACATATTACAAGATAGGAGCGCACCATTTCCAGGAAAGTGTACACCCATATATTACCAGGTATGACCACAAGGTTTTGAAGAAAGTGACAAACCAGAAACCACTTGCCTCTGAACGAAATGGAGCAGGTTTTACCACTCCAACCTCAGTTAGAAACAAATCTACAACTTTGAATAGGTAGCTAACACAACGCTAGTCTGTTTCAACGGTTCGAACAAAAAGCGTCTGGCTTGGTAGCTGACGCCATATTTTATGGCAATGGCATATCCAAAGCCCATAGGCTATCCTCGTACCAAAAATTTAATCTATGAACAGTCACAACAATATATATATTATGGATGTCCTTGTCGCAACCACCGAGGAAAATAGTATGTAGTGGGCCATTCATTAACCTAATTTACAATTAAAATAGTATTGAGCAGTTGTTTAAGCCTAGCTAGTGTTGTCATCACATGGGGCCTCTCGATCCCTTTTGGTTTGCAGACCATTACAAGCAAGCCCAACAATACAAAAATAGCTAGCTGGATCAGGTAGCAGCTGGGGGGAAAGCTTCAACTAGCTAGATTAGATTTCACCCAGATAGTAGAGAAGAAACAATTAGCAGCCTCTAGCTTAGCTCAATTTCCATCGGTTGTTAATTACTTTCCTCAATCGGTCGGCCAGCCGGCAGGAGAAAGATCTAGAGAAGAAGAAGAAGAGGAAGAAGAAGAAGAAGAAGATGGGGAGGGGGAAGATTGCGATTGAGAGGATCGACAACACAACGAACCGTCAGGTGACCTTCTCCAAGCGGCGCGGAGGGCTGATGAAGAAGGCCCGGGAGCTTGCCATCCTCTGTGACGCCGATCTCGCACTCATCGTCTTCTCCAGCACGGGTCGCCTCTATGACTTCGCGAGCTCCAGGTCTGTTAGTTAAACAATTTGTTCCCGCACCCTCCCAATACTCTACGTATCAGTTACTTAATTTCATCCTCTCATAGTTTGGATGTGTTTCTATTTTATTTTTTTGCCTTCATCAGTGGAATGGAGGCAATACTAGAGCGGTACCAGGAGGCAAAAGAGGAGCACTGCGGAGTGTTGAATCCAACATCTGAGGCAAAGGTATGTAAGTATGTATGCTTAGTAGCTTTTCCACGCCACACATATATATATTTACCGAAGGAAAGAGAACGGTGAAACGAATAGCAAACAAGCTTGGATGACGATCTAGCAATATGATCTCTGATGATTCGCCTTTGAGTGGGATTTTGTCTTATATTTCATAATGCTTCAAACTATGAAATAAAGATGACAGCATGTATGATTGATGCAGAAACATAACCCAGAGGTATTCCTCTCTCTCTTTGTGAAAAAAATAGCAATCAAGCTAGCTAGATGTGCATATAGCTCAATTCCATGAACTAATTAACTGAAGTGGTTAATCATTCAGTTGAACGGTTCTAAACAGATTTTCGCCATGGTGGTGAAGGAGGTAAATAGTCTCATGGGTGAAAGAGAGTCTTTGTTTGCTCATATTTCTAGGGAGCAAAATAAAATTAGCCATGTTCTTGCAAACTTTGGTTGTCGGGAGGATCACACTGTTGTCTGGATCCAATCTAGACAGGGCAATATCCTTAAGTGTAGGAATGAACCTCTTTGCTCTTGAGTAATACACCCTTTTTACCACCATAAAAAATAAAAGCAAACCACCAAGTCCAAACAACAAGTGCAAGTGTCAGAAGAAATAATAATAACTCCTACCTATTAGTAATTGTCGTGCATTAGTGTCTCCTCACGGGAATAAAATCTAATCAAAAAATTTAACACCAAACTAATTAGGGAATCACAATCATTATTGATTAATTAGTAGGTTAGAGCATCTACAACTGGGCTAATATGAGCCCCTATATGTTCACGGAGGCGCATTTGGAAGCGTACGGGAAAGGACAAAGACACCCCCTATATGTTCTCCCGTGCAACCACATCCCCACTTCTAAAACCTCAAACGCATGCAATGACATGCACATCCATCATTTGACCATACAAATACATGTAACAATGAATTTAACGCACAAATAAAATTTATTCAGAGAGCAAATACATGGTTCAATTGTAAATTATCTAGAGTGCATAATTTAAATGTAAATTAAATGATTTCCATTGTGGAATCACATATGCTCGGCAAGATCATTCGGTTGTTGCACATGTATCTGTTGATCTCGAAGTTTGTCGATGCATTTTTAGAAAGTTCACAACATGCTCTGCATCTTGTTTCAAGAGGCAGACATGTGTTCGTGTGTGTGTGTGTGTGTGTGTGCGCGCGTGCGTGCGTGCGTGTGTGTGTGTGTGTGAGTGTGTTGCCCCTTAGCCCTCATCCTCCACAATCATGTTGTGCAAGACTACACAACACATGTCAACAACTGGCACAATGTCTCCTGTCGCACATCATTGCAACTCCACAAACAATACCCCACTGAGCTT